AATTTAAAACCACGTGCTTGATCCCTAGACACTTTAAGTGCGGGTGGATCGCTCTAAAACTCTAAACAATAATAAATCTCTGGTACGATGAAAAACGTCGTTGGGGAGGACGCTTGCGTATTTGAACTCACAACCTTACTACTGAACACATCGTCATTTTCTGTTATTTTTGTAAACAGTCATATTTATTCACTAATATTATGCTCCCCGAATAATGTGAAAAAAAAATAAACTTACCAAAACAAATACAGAAAAAAAAACAAGAAACGAATTTTGTCCAAAAAAAACTAAGAAACAAAAAAAAAACAAAATGAAAACAGAACAGCTCCAAAAATTAAGTTCGTGTAGTGTTCATTAGAGGTATCAAGATAGTACTTTAAAAACTTTAAAGTTTATTTTTGGTAAATTTGTTACGTTTTGTAAAAAGTTATGTAACAAAAAAAAGTTGTTGTTTTTGGTATTAGTAATACAGTCCTGAGAACTTGTTATTATTTTACAAGTAAACCTCCCTGTATTTTTAATTGATTCTGTTGGGAATCCGAAATTTTAATTGTTAAATATCTTCTGAAGAGGCATTCCATGATCATTAATGGCACAAGTAAAACCTCGTCAATACAATCGTATTTCGTATTATTAAAAAGTATTTCGCCTTCATTTGTAAATTACAATGCTCCAAGAAAATTGAGCGTTTGTAATTTCAATCGCGTTTTTTTACAGTCAATTTGTCTCCAACCTGTACTTTGCAATGTTTAAAGAGATAGTTAAAGACTAGAGTAGGTATACCTACTTGTATAATAATGTATACTAAAGCCTGTGGCCTTGTGTACCAATCGTATACATTTACTTTTTAGTGTATAACGAATTATTATAAGTCCAATATCAATACGCTGTTGTAGTGATAAGCGATAGCGGGAAAACCACAGAACACGCGAGAGAAATGTGTAGAGGAAAACAGATTTAATTATCACGGAACTTTGAATAAAGATAATATTTATTTCTAATTAACTGTAACTATAATCCATTGACTTACAATTATATGGACAACGGGTCCGCGCTAAAAAGTGTCCGAACTTATAGGGCGTTAAAATCGTATACAGAGCGTCATTCACGCTCTAGTCTTCGTTTGTTCGACTGACAGCGAAACAAGCAAAATTAGACAGTACTGCGATGACATTACAATTTAAATTCAACGTTTTAGCTTTTTCATATTCCTTTACATGTCACTACGTTTAAATAGGTTGACTTGGGACATTTTTTTCGTGGTTTTTGTATCAGACCCGTCGTCCATTTATTTGTAAGTCAATGCTATAGTCAGTCGTTTTTGAAGATGGAGTAAAATGACAGTTTATTTCGGAAGTGTTGCCCACTTGCGAGCAGCTAGTGCTTGTTGTCGATAAATATTCTATCGACTGAATATTGGTCACGCTTATGGAATAAATAGCCGTACTTGTTTCATTTCAATCATCCTCGACACATTATTCGTCAAAATACTGAGCACAAGTTCATTTGAATTGTCAATTTTTAAGTTCATACAACATACATTGTATTTAGAACTATGTTTATGAAAAATACAAAGAGGTGACATATTTTGAAATTTTTCATTTTAATTCAATATAGATAAATCAATTCCGGCTATTCTAGTTAAAAAGTATATGAATAAAAACTGATGTCGATACTAGTAGACCAACTAGTATCGACAACGCAATTAGCAATAAATGGAACGTCGTAACATTCACAGTCCAGTTATTATTGGCATAATTTTGTTTTCTTTCTCAATCTATCGATAAAACTATCGACAACAGCCACATAACTATTTAAAATTTTATGAAAACTGGCAACCTTACAAATGTGATTTTACTCCGTCTTCAAAAAAAGACGGACTACAGATTTCGTCGTAATGCCACTGAAGGAAAATCAGTTTGCCACAAAATTGAACAGCTCCGTATAAACCCCAATGTTTCCTTATGTGATAGAAAAACATCTAGGAATAAACATAAGAAATTGGTTTCGTTTTACATCGGCTACCCGCTCCGCTTATCACTAACCCATGAACACCATTGCAAGTCTGCGCACGCGCAGCGCTGCGGTTAAGGCGACAAAAAACGAGAGATCAACCACCCGGACGCATTCATACAAGGTGATAAATATACAGGTGGCAGTAGTATTGTTGTGGAATGAAAGAATCGATGCGCTTTTTTTGTTACTAATGGTAGTTAGTATTGATGTGAAATGTAACCAATGAACCAATTCTGATGAAATTGTATTTATTACAAATATAAGTGTTTTATGCTTTACTGCGTTCCGGTTTTGAAGGGAACACCCTTAGTGCTGGTGAAATTACAGGCACATGAGACTTGTGAACTTATGTCTCAGGGTGACGGGAGTAGTGGCAGTGCCCCTAAGATCTTTGTGATTTCAAAGCAAATAATCTTTATTTCATAGGTAAGCAAATTACACTGGAACACGTCTCACGCGTGCTCTATGGTCCAATCAAAATTTGCTAGTTCATCGAGGCAAAGACAATATTGTGAACCGCCGTTATCGATGGAAACCTATGATTAAACTAAATATTAAAATAAATAATTGTATAACGTTCCGTTACAGTCTTATTGATTAAACTCTACTGCTCACACATAAGGCTGATTCCCCTGAGAAGAATGAGCGAGAACTCTTGAGGATGCTATTTGTGAATAAACATTTGTACACCTTCAAAATATTTATTTAGATCGAAACAATCTGCAAGAGATAAATACACTACCACGGATTTTTGTCATCCAAGTATGCAGAATCTGTATAACTTCTAGTATAGTTTTGTTTCAGGTTTTGAACCTAGTGAACGGTAAATTAAATATCAACCGCAATCGAGAAGCGTATACATTGCCCCTTAAGGCGACGAATTTCAATACGAGTCTACAGTTTAGGAGGCGAGGTGTGGGGGGTGAGGTCGCCTCTCGCGTCCCGCGTTCTGGGCTCTGTAAATTAGTATAAATAAAAATAGGCGGAGAAAATTTGACACAAATCCGACGTCGACAAGCGACCGATGGCAAACGCTGGGCAATTTATAGAATAAATATGAATTTAATAACTACTGGGCTTCAGTTGAAAACTGCAGTATTTACAGAGAAATATCTCCATATAAAAATTAAGCAAAGTTAGATATTTTATTCTTAAATAATTCGTTTTAGCCATAATTCAGCCTCTTATCAGGATTTTATATGAAGTCAAAGTCAAAGAAGCATTCATTCCATAGGTAAAATAAATTTAGACTCGAAAACGTCAGCTCGTTCACTACGCTGACTTCCCTGAGAAGAACGAGTAAGAAACTCTAGGGAATGCTCTTTACAAATAAACTTAAATGCTATGGAATACGCTTTGAATCAAATTTGTGTGAATTCTGGAGCTATGTCGTCATTCCCAACATCTTTATCTAACACGTAGTCTTCAATTTGATCGGATAAAGTATAGCTTAAAAAATGTCGCTTTCAGCGTACATTTATTTTACCTTCGCGGCCGTGTTGATCCCTTAAACCATTCTTTACTCTCACCAAATTCGATATACACGACTATTGTGACTAGTATTCTATTTATGTAGTTAATATTGGTGAGTGACACGTATAATTTCGACATTACGAAGTTGCCAAACCTTCGTGAGCTGCTGCCCACAGAGTAAGCCTTTTGCAATAACATTGAAAGAGAATGTTCGTTGATTATTTTGGAATTTGCACTTTTATTTGTACAGTGCGTTTTGTAAGTCGTAGATAATGTTAAAAAAGATTGAGTATCTTTTTTCTTTTCAGCGCAGTTGTTACCGTAATCATTTGGCAGAATAGTTTTCAAACAAATTAAATGACATTTGGTTTGTATTTCTCGTTATATAGTCGATGCGACGTGTGTATTTTACATGTAGAGATACAAATTTTAAAATTACATATTTTTTTCAAATCTCTTGTTAGACGAAACCCTTGCCCACACTTGGAAAGCATAACCATAATAAATTCGCTTCTACAGCGCGAAAAAAAAAAAACAGAAAATGAGCATTACATATGCATTTTGTCGTTATCAATGCATGACGTTGTAAGCTAATAAAAACTTGGTATGAAATATAAACTTAGCTCAACATTAGTTTCGTAATGGCAACGTCTCTTTGAACCTACGGTAATGGCTGAAATTTAAACTCTTAGAGTTATGTCTAACAGCTATTTCTTCTTCTTTTAAATGTTTGGCTAATAGCTATTAATACAAACCACCCTATTTTTCACTAACTTCATCAAATATGTATATAGTTTATGATTGTTAAATTTATTAATACAAAGATTGAGCAGATTGAAAAACTTTTTCGATACGATGGGACTTGAACCCACGGCCATACTGCATCGTCGTTTTGCTCTTACCAACTGAGCTACGGGTCAAGTTATCGAGTTGTCGAAATTCTCCTGTTTTTGTTAAAGATCTTTACTGAATTTTTCGGCATTCTACGCCGCCAGTGACATCTAGTGAGAGATTTTAGAAACTTCTTCACCGAAGCTTCAGCTTCAGTTTGTATAAATAATTATAAATAATAAAAAGTAGTGGAGTTATGTATTTCACAAAAAAATGTTAATAATAAATAAATTTCTATGTAAATAAATTGTAAAAATTGCGACCTCAGAGATGGTGACACCATGAAAATCGGTGTGCAAGCCACTCGACCACGGAGGTCGTAAATATAAAACCAACTATTTTTATAGTCAGTATAAAAATGTATACTTTTCTGATGAGACAATTATATCAAAATTGGTTCATTGTGTTTTAAAACAATACAGTTATTTATAGAAGAAATTCAGACTGAAACAACACTGCATATATCCTAGACTAATGCCGCTTTCCTATTTCTTTCAACAGACAAATTTTGTGATAGAACTGATATTTATATTGTAGCGATTTTTAATTGGAGCAACCGCAATTAAAGGCCTACACTTACAACATTAAGAGGACAGTTTTTACTCCACAATCAATACCATAATGTTTCTAGTTTTTTTTAAGATCCAGATATATACCCTGTTGTTTCTTAAGTGAGGATATGTATTATTCAGTAATTCCCATGGCGTAAATAAATTTAAAAAACAAACATCAGTGGGTACCATTACCGTTCAAGCCATTAGTTGGCAATTCCTTCGTACTCTTCAAGTGGAATGGTGAAATTGTGAACACTTCATTTTTAACTAACTCCTCCAGATTCTCCCCTCCATATGATAATAGAGGAGAAATTTCCACATCAATATTGTCTTCAATAATTCCCCCGGCTTGCCGTATGTATTTACGATGTAGTCGGAACAAATCCTCCCTGGCAGTCGAAGGGCAGTCTTTTCCAGCCGCTTCTGCATTTTTCAATGCAGAAAACTCAACATCTCGTGCCACTTCCAAACAAATGAAGTTTTTAGCAAACTCGAACACATCAAAAATAAACTTCTCCATCTTGACTCCATTAGGTTCTGTGGGTTTTTGACGTATTCCATTCTCGTCAACGTATGGGATTTTCTTCTTTGCAATATGAAGCTTCAGTTTTGATTCATAGTCACAGATTTTCAGAAGAAAATCAGCTGAGAAGTAGTGATTGCAGATGTTACCAGCAGAAAATGTAAGTCTGCCATCAGGGTTTCTCCGCTCTGCAGCTTCATCTGTCAATTCTGAGTACTCAACGACTTTGTAATGTCCATTGACCCTGCAGACAACTCCAACTGCTTCTGTTGGGTAAGATTTTGAAACTACTTTTGCAGCACAGTCCGCACTCTTGCTCTTGCAGTATCCTATAAATACAGGATCCGCAACTTTAATAAGAATGTTGTCCACTGAATGGGCATGTAGATGTTCCACACCTCGTTTCGATATATCGTCAAGTATACCTTGAGTTTTCAAAGCCTTGTATAATCCACCATTACCATCAGGAGCACATGATATATGGTATTTTTCATCTAGTATGATCTTACCATTGAAATCGAAGCTTGGTAATGTACCTTGTTCGAAAAAAACAATATTCTCCTCATTTAAACCAAAATAATTATGAGTTTTGAAGAATTCAATAGTCGGTTCTACAGTGTGCTCTGATGTCATAATATACCAGGTAATTTTACCATTTTTCCCAGTGTTTTCCAGAGACATTTGTTGCACGCGGAGTATCCTTTCCGCTTGGATTTGGAATAGTGTTTTACCCGAGGGTAGGCCAACATTATACATACCTTTCGGATGGCCAAACCCAAGTCTAGTAGCTTGGCCACCAGCCAGCAGTAAAACACCTACTTTGTTCAGAGAAATTTCTTTGAAACCAATGTTTTCATATTCTTCAATTTTTTCTTGGGTTAACGAGGGTACCGCTTCATAGTGAGTCTCAGGAATGGGCTTCAAATCCTCTTCAAGCTTATCCAAAATAACTTTAGACGACTCGTTCGCGCGTTCGAATAAATTAACTATTTCCGCCAAATCCAACTTTTTAATTTCACTTTCCAAATTTTCCCGCTCTTTTTCACTTAATTCCGGCCAGTATTTTAACAAATGCTCTTGGTTATGAGCTGATAGCAACGATTTTAAATTTTCGTAAGACATTTTTTAGCGCTCGATAAAATATTGTTTTATCTAGACCGATCGCGGCGATTAGAAAGTGTATACTGAATCATAGCTACCGTATCGAAAAGGCTATAGTTTCTCCCACCACAACTTGAAATACACGTCGGCGGCATTCTCCTGACATTTTCGTTTTATGTTTTATTTACATTAATATCAGTAAGTAGTCTTTAGGGAATTATGTCATTAAGGCAAACATTAGAGTACATTACCTGATTTACTAGTTATTTATTTAGAAAGTTGCGAAATTAAGCGGTAATGTATAATCCACATTTCGAAATTTGAAGGATGACGCAATGCCTTGTTGACGCTTAGAAGTGCGTGTAGAGTATGCAATAAATTAAAATTTTATAATTCTTTGTTTGTAAATATTTAATGAAAATAGTATATGCTCCACGTCTATACTTGTTTTATCAAACAACAAATATAATTGTAATAACTATGTATTTCAAAGAATAACTTAATTAATTTATTTATTAAAATGAAAAATAAAAGAGCTAACTTTGTGTTATAATGTACCAGACAGAACGCACATATAGTGCTTGTCTTTGGTCAATTGTATCCCCTAGTGCTGCAAGTGCATTATTTACACGACTGAAACGTACTCAAACTACTTTATATGTTTTTCAATTAAATACAACATAAATAAATTTAAATACAATACAGACAATGATTGTTATGCTGATAATTAGCATATTAGAAGAATATATAATTTTTTGAGCGATCGCCAACCAATATATATCATCTAAGTCGACCGATTTTATAAAATCACGCCCTTAATTTGTCTATGGTTACCATGCATCTTTAAAAACATTGAAAAAACATGTCAAATGGTCCCTTCCGGAACGTGTGTTATTTTCTACTTTTATTAATTGAGTTTGTGTTAAATACCATATTTAGTGTTGCTAAAAGTGTGTACAGTGTCTCTGCTTTAATATTGTTCAAGCTCCTTCACATAAACATGACCGAAATCTCACAAAAGAAACGCAAGAACGGTAGCAACGATTCTAACCTGTTGAAAGCTAGAACTCTCATCGATGCGAATTGGCAGAAATTCTTATCTAGCGGTCTTATAAATGACAAGAAATCCGAGAAATCACCGCAAGAAACAACTAAACAGCACTACACGGGGACTTTCCGTCGTTCCCGCAAGAAAAAAACAAACGAACATCAAACTTGTTACAATGCACAAAACGGCTCGCAGAACTTAAATATCGACATCGTAACGCTAAAAAACGACTTAAATAACAAGAATTTAGCCTCGTTCAGCGATCAAAAGTTGATTAAGAACCAGAGCGTGTCGAAAAACGCTAAAACCAACTTGAACGGCGTCGCCATTAAAAATAATGATCAGAAAAACAAGTTAACTAAATTTATTGCCATGGATTGTGAGATGGTGGGCATTGGGTATGATGGAAATGATCATATGCTCGCGAGAGTGTCTCTGGTTAATAAATTTGGTGATTGTATTTATGATAAATTTGTTAAACCAAGAGAGGAAGTTATTGATTATAGAACCAATATTAGTGGCGTTAGGAAAGAAGATTTATTGAACGGAGATGACTTTACTAAGGTCTGTACTCATAGCAATTAAGAAAATCCTGTCCTCATCAAGGGAAAGTATACCCGATTGCAATAATGTATTAATACCTCCAATTATCGACCGTAGATGAAAAATTGTAAGAATAAAAAGTATTTATTTGCTAAACATTTATTTCTCGCTAAAACCAAAGTTTTGCCCAGTAAACATTCACAAAATGAAATGATTGTCACTAATATCAGGTTTCTTACCATGGTATTACTTCATTTTATTTTCCCGATAATTCGTAACGGTTGCACGCTCCATGGTCACGGGTTGACTGAGAGAGAATTTTAAATTTAGTGAATAACCACGAAAGTCTTAAAATCTATATTCACAAAATTCCCTAGATCTAGCGACTAAGTTGCTAAAACGGCGCCAATGGCAGGTGGAGAGAAGCTGGTGACTGGGAGGTTGCGGGTTACTCCCGCTGCTTGAGGATCGGACGCGGCCACTCGAACTCTCAGTTTGCACCCATGCCATATAAAATCTTTAAAAAATCTTGTCCCTAACTTGTGGTCGCTTTTAGTGAGCAGGCACTCTTAATGATAATGGTATGGTTTCAATAACTATGTTTTTGACGTTGAATTCTCTCTCATTTTCAGGTACAAAAGGAAGTAGCAGAAATAATAAGAGGCAAAATCCTAGTCGGACACTCACTGAAGAATGACTTAAGCGTTCTCTTCCTTTCCCACCCAAAAAGGAATATACGGGACACTGCCAGATACAAACCGTTTAGAAAGGTAAGCTTGCTACTGACTGACTGACTGTCTACTGACAGAGTTATTTTTATACAGGGTTATTTGTAAAATGCTAACAATATCTCGCTGCCCTCTGATTCCGCTCTACAGCTGCTATCCAGCTTAGAACCTCGCTGCTCTTCGGATCTGCACCTCTGTCCTCAGTCACCAAGAGTCGAGGGCAGAGGTCTCCAACTCCGTGTCTCCATCTTCTCCTATCTTCACCTTCACACTACACTTACATTGCTCACTCTACCACGTCCTCACACTCTGTATCTTTCCACCCCGACCTTCTAGCTCTCCATCCTCACAATTGATCTAATGCTATTTTTGTCTTTCCTTCTCATATCGAGTTCTTAGGTTTTCCTTCTGTGTCTTTCCTTGTAAGCGACCAGGTTTGACCACCGTACATTAAACATGGAAGGATGCAACTGTCAAATACTTTCTTTTTTGCACTAGTTAGGATATCTCTATTTTTGATAACCTCTTTTAGGGACAAGTATTTTTTCCATGATTTTGCAGGAATATATTATAAACAAAAACTTATGTCCCATGACTCTAACACACATCTCTATATTTTAAAACACGTGGTGAAGTGACACAAAGGCAAACCACACCTAAAATCAAGAATCTTTTGCACCGCCCTCATTGCCATAAATTAATTTATAAGAATAACTGCTTCAATATGTGCATAAAGATCTTAAATACCAAATTAATTTAAATTACTACACGGACCTACATTCAAACCACAATTGACAAAGTTGCTTATATGACACATTGCTTGCTGAATACTTAGAATCTACAAATACTAATTTTATTAATTTTGGAGACAAAAATATTTAAGTCTGTATAATTACTGTATTCTGGCAAATAAATGTTTTCTATTCTATTCTTTTAATAATTAATCAGATTTTACTTTCGTAAAAAAAGGATTGTGAGTGGGGATGCTTGCACCTTAGAACTATGTACCAAAGAAACAAAAGTTGTTATTGATAGTCTTAGTAATATAGCATAAGCTTTGCCTGTCACTTGTCAGAGTGGAGTGCAGCGGTAACGAAATGTGAACACCTATAGATGTCCTTAAAACCAGCGATTGGCTCACAAAGACGTGAACTGCATGATCTTGTATTTTTGCATAAAATAGTAAATGCCTCTACTGACTCAATGGAAATTTCATGTCGAGTGAATATTTCGGTTCCGTATAATGTTCCTCGTAAGCCTTTGTCTCACATTTTTCAAACATCACGTAGCAGAACTAATTTGGGTACTGTAACGAGGTCGCTCGGGATGCGTAGCGAGAGGTACTTGTAATAATATAAACCGGCATCATCTCAAGAACTTTGGTTTATTTCACGTTTTTTACATAGTTTATACTTTCAGGTTACAAATCAATAATCTAATATGTCAAGATCTTCTGTTTTCTTATTTCAATCCTTAACATTCTAAATATAAAACTATAATCACTACCTATATTCAGGCAGCAATTCTACTCAGAGTAGAGCCTAGTCTACAGTACCCATTCTCCTGTGAATAGAATCACTATGGTAAATGGGTGGCTAAGTGCCAGACTTGGATATTTTCAATAATTCCTCGCCTTTGTTTAGACGTTGTGTTTTGCAATTGTTATTAGGTGATTTAAAAGTAACATAATATTATATAAAATAATATGTTTTAATATTGATTAAGTAAGTGCTTATTGATGACACTAAGTGATGGAACGTGCGCCTGATGGTAAACGACACGCCTGTCCAGAACAGTTGCAGTGCCACTCGGAGCTTTAAATCGCAAAGATCTGAAGTGCACTGCCTCTGCGCCCATCACCCTGAGACATAAGTTGAAAACTTCCATGTGCCTGTAATTTCACCAGCACCCTTACCCTTCAAGACCGGAACACAGTAATGCTGCCAGTATGGTGGCAGTACTTCCCTGGACGAACTCTTTCACAAGGAGCTCTACTGCTTCTGCTAAATAATAATTTAATTTATAGCTGTATTAATCCAATTCTAATTATTTCAAATTGTTTATTAATCTAATGTGACAATAGGAATGTGTAATACGTATATTGGCAAAATTGGCCACCATACTGGGGCAGATAAAGGGGCTATAAGAAGAAAGTGTCTCTTACATAAGAGTATAAGCATACGTCGGGTCCAGCCCTAAGAAACCATTAACACTAATGTTTTCAATATTTTTACAGATAACTAAAGGCAGTACACCATCTCTAAAACGACTAGCAAAAGAAATACTCGGCATAGACATCCAACATGCAGAACACAGCTCTGTAGAAGACGCAAGGGCAGTAATGCAATTATATTGTACAGTAGCTAAAAATTGGGAAGCCAGTATGAGCGAAAAAAGAGGGTATAATGGAAAAATTCTCGATGAATCTTGAAATTAGCATTATTTTCATGTTGTCACTTTAATGTTTTTGCAAAAATAAAACTTTGTTGTAATTTAATTTTGCAATCACAAGATTGTGTGTATGTTGAATGTGTGCGTTGTTATTATTATTATAATAATATCAGATTTATTATAATTTTGTGGTTATATGGTAACAACAACAAAATTATAATCATTTTGCAATATTAGAACTAATAACTGAACAACATTACAATCAAAATTATGATAATTTTGGAAATATTAAGACATAACCTTAGAATAATACTGCATAGAATGATAGTTTCATATCAAACGAACTGTCACAAGTGAGGCAAAAATCAAATTCTTGTAGGTGCGATATGAGAAACATTTTCAAGGTATTCGAGGTGGTCATTACGAATATGGCACTCCTTTGTAAATCCAAGATGGCGGGCACGATTTCTCAAATAATGGCCAGTTAGGTAACGCTTTCAAGGTATTTGGGGGTGCCCATTACGAATATAGCATTTATTTCTAAATCTAAGATGGCGGACACGAGTTTTCAAATAAATGCAATATGGGTATCATTTTCGAGGTATTTGGGGGTGCTCATTGCGAATATGGCACTCATTTCTAAATCCAAGATGGCGGGCACCATTTTTAAAAATATGTAATATGGGTATAATTTTTGAGATATTTGGGGATGCTCAATACGAATATGGCACTCATTTCTAAATCCAAGATGGCGGACACGATTTTTCGAATAATGGCGGACACGATTTTTCGAATAATGGCAAGTTGGGTATCGAACCGACGTCTCGGTTCGAATCCGGCCGGAACGAACGAATTTTTTCTGAGTGTTCGAAGTGGAGTAATTTCACAAAAAATATTTGAATGTCAATTCAATAAAAATTTAACGATTTTTCACATGAAACTAATGAAGGCAAATACTAAATATATTTCGTAAAAATAGCTAACGTAAATTCTCTACAATGTCGTTGCGGCGCTGTACATTTGTAGAAATTCTGCAACCATAGCATATTGCCTATTCTCAAAAAATTACGTAATATAATTATTTTGAAACAGAATAGCAAAATGGGGAGAAAAAAATCCGTTACTTTGCAACATTTTCGTGTCTTGTTGCAACGAAATTAATTTTCTGTTTTAGTGAATATTTACATAAAAATACAAGTTGAAACGCTTTACTTCCTTGTGGAATGTAATGTTAGTATTTAGTTTATGTTTGTCTGACGTATTTTTACACTCATTTTCCACACATTTCGTCATTTTTAGCTAAAATTCTTGAGCTGTCCGCGTTGCAAGTTGACCTTTTTTTTTTTAATTTATTCAATTTCAAAAACATTAACTATTTTATTACATTAACGCTAGGTAAAAACTTAATGGTTTAACCACCTAGCGATAAACCTTGAGCACTGACGGCCCGCCCGCTCGTGTAGGCCCATTGGGAGCCCTACAATTTGCCTCACTTAGCGTGTGCGGACTAAGTTTCTATGCGTTATTATTCTAAGATTATAACAATCTGAGCAACATTAGGTAGTATTAGATTATTGGCATTCAAAGAAATCGTTTAATACTATGATAGTTTGTGTAACATGTTTTATTATTTAAATAAGCATTCTTACTTTTTTCGTGATTTCGAGGCGGTCGCCATAGTAAAAGTTTCAAAGTCGAAGGATGTCAGTTAATATTTTAATAACTTATATATGCCTCCGTGGCTGAACGGTTACAATGCTGCTCTGCCATGCAGAGGTCCCGGATTCAATTCTTGGGTGTGATTTATGGTCGTCTATGTGTATGTCCATAGCACGATACAGGGTTTTCTCAAAATACGCTCTATCTGTTTACCTTTTAACTTAAATGAGCGTCCCAGTCACGCAGGCGAGTCTGGCTTGAACTTGGTCAAGGCAGTCCGCGCAGTTGTATTATTCAGAGGAATTTAAATGTTGTTGCCTAGTAAATAGAATTCAGATTAGCCATTAACGTACATGAAGTTAAGTTTCGCGCTGCAGCTGCTCCACTACTAATTTTCGTACAATATTTTGAAGCGCAGTTGCAGCACCACTGTCGTGAAATGCGCGTGCCACTTTTCTTAGTTTACAATGAGCACGGCACGCATCTTAAAGACATACGGTGTCCTTAATGATTTTAGTACCGTAGTGTCCTATAATCTGTGTTTTTTGAAGACGGAGTAAAATGACAGTTTATTGCGTAAAAGTGTTGCCCCCTTGCGAGCAGCTAGTGATTGCAGTCGACAAATATTCTATCGATTATCGACTGAATGATGTCACGTTTATGTAATAAATAGTCGGACTTGTTTCATTTAGATCATCTTCGGCCCGTTGTAGGTCCAATTGGTACATCCACAAAATTTAGAAGTATGTCTATGAAAAATACAAACAGGGGACATATTTTAAAGTTTTTCATTTTTTAATATCAATAATCAAATCCGCCTGTCGTTATTAAAATGTGTATGACTAAAAATTGATGTTGATAATAATAAAATAAATAAAATAAAATATCTTTATTTTCAGACTACAGGGTCCATAGATTGTTAGTAAACAGAAAAACCTTAATAACTATGTTAGTACTACAATAATAATAATAATAATAATACTTGCTAAAGGGTACACCGCTGTCGGCAGAGTCACCGAGGTGCACGAGTAGCGTGCACTGCACCATCCAGCCTTCCTTCAACTACCTGTAAAAGACTGTTGGAGCTTCCCCTCACTCTTCGAATTAGAAAAGCAACTTTTTTGCGCATAAGCGCAAAAAAGTCGTCTGTGTGCGCATCGGCAAACATGCCCGAAGCACTGCAGTGTCGAGGAAGCCCCACCATCACCCGGAACAGGTTGCTGTACAATATGCGCAGGGCGCTGTATGATTTTTGGGAATAACTAGTCCACAGACTGCTGGTGTAAAAAATTTGGCAGAATGCTTTGAACAAAGTGACTTTGACATTAAGTGTACAACCAGCAAATCTCCGAGCCAGCATATTCCCTCTTACAGACAGCGCCCTGCGTTCCCTTTCTATATCGCAGTCATCCTTCAATTCTTCATTGACAATGTGCCCTAAGTATTTAAACTGCGTGACTCTCTTCAGTGGTGAACCATTGAGGCACACTGGAGGGACAGAGTAAAATAATGCAATTAGTAATCATTAGCACGTCGTAACATCCACAACTCAGACATTTATGGCAAAATTTTACTTGCTTTCACAATCTATCGATAAAATTGTCGACAACAACTACATGACTATTTAAAATTTTACGAAAACTGGCAACCCTGCAAATGTCATTTTACTCCATCTTCAAAATGGACAAACTATAGAGCCACACTGTGTCTCTAACGCGCAGCTGTGTTTCCATCCACCATTTTCTTTTTTATATTAAATAAAAAAAAAACAACGAAAGTCGTCTGGGACACCGTGTTTCTCTTAATGTGGACTTACCATGAACTCTAAATACGATTCAGTTTAGGACGTCGAATCGTTGTGAGACAGCGCTACATGAAGTGTACATCACCATCCCGCTTTTTAGACGTTACGAACCTATACTGAACTTATAAACATAATATTTACGCCAGAGTAATATGTATAACCACAGTTACTATAATGTTCTTTTCATATTGCTGATATTGTTATATCAGCAATAACCATGTAACCACAAAATTGTTATGATATTACATCGAGTATATAACCAGATATAGAGACGAAATAAGGGCCATATATTCCTGGTAACACATTAGCGGTACAGCTCTTATAAATATCAACTCTCGTTTGCACTGAAATATAGACAGGCCAACTACTGACCTGTGTGGACGTCTCCGTATATTCCAAGAAATATTCTGTATTTATTGTGCTGTTCTATTCGGTGGTGTGAGAAAAACAGCAAAACATCTGATTACAAAACAAACGGAATCACATTTTATCGGTAATGAAATACTAAATATGTAATTTTGCAAATTTCGTCCATTATAGCAAAGCTCAAGTTAACTGATCGATTTGAAGTGAAACAGTTGACGACACCCGTCAATTGTTTCGAACTCGGGCTGGCCAATCGGAGCGCAGTTGTCACAGTAATGATATGACAGAATAGTTTTCAAACAAATTAAATGACATTTCGTCTCTATGTCTGGTTATATACTCGATGTGACATTAGCATGGACTATTAACTCAAGAGGCCTGGTAATCACAATACAAGACAGCGTAGTCGAGCATTTAGTACCGTTTCGCACACCAGATGTCGCGACGTGTACCAAATTGCTGTTTTTGCAACTAATTTGTTTTACATTGACGAGTTGCAATTTAGCAAAACTTATTTCTGCCTCCATGGCTTGGCTTGGGTTACCTACCAGTAGTACGAAATGACATTTTCCAGAAATAACGTTTGCTAGAATTTGCATAACCTCGAAAGTAATTTTGAGAGGAAAATGTTTTTTTCTTTTAAACCTAACCGAACCTAATCGTGTCTTTGCGATGAATATCCAACATATTCTGAAAGAAAAATGGTTTCGTTATAATTCGGTGTAATGAAAATTCAAACAAACATTGTTTCGGAAAAGAAATTCGTCTTTGTGATAGGTTACCGTTACCATGACGGGCTGTCACGCAGAGGTCCCGGTTTGAAATATGTCGAGCGTAAAACCGACTTAAAAGACTATACAACCTCAAATTATAAAATTGATTCCGTATAGCAATGAAAGTGTTGAAATCATTGACTTACAATTACATGGACGTCGGGTCCGCGCTACAAAGTGTCCGCACTTGTAAGGCGCTAAAATCGTATACAGAGCACCAAACTCCGCTTTAGTCTTCATTTGTTCTACTGACAGCGCGATACTGCGATGACATAACAATTTAAATTTCGAATAGGTTGACTTGGGACATTTTTTTCGTGGTTTTTGTATTAGACCCGTCGTCCATTTATTTGTAAGTCAATGGTTGAAATAATCACTTTGGACATAAAATTAAGATATACACTGATTAGTATACGGTGTGAGAACACGATTCCTCAAAATTTTCTCGATAGAAATAACACAAATTTATTCAATAAGTAGTTTATATATACCAATTTTTATATGAACTGACCTAAATAAAACACGTATAGTATGCGATGTATACTTTTCAAACGGTTTTAATTACCTTCGTTCGACACGCGCAATTGAACTTATTCAGTACGGGAAAATTATTAATTCGTACTGCGGTAGTACCCACTTTTGTGAGTTATCTTACTTTAGTTAATATTAATAGTATAGATTCTTAGCTCCGCCGTTTTAAGTTCCAACTTGTCACTTGTCGGTTTTTTGTTTTATAACTCGTTAAAAAGTTATTACTGTAACTCAAGTGCGAACGCTGTTATTTGATGACAAGAATAAATTTATAACTTTGTTGTGACAATACCAAAGCTATTTTGTTGTTAAATTAGCTGCCTGTTGACTATTAGGTATGTCATCTGACAGGAAACGAGTGGAAAATGCCAGCCAAATTACTCGTGCGTTTTTTCTGTGTAAATGTCGTATGTGAATTTTAATGGTCATGATAAAACTTATCTTTTGCCTATATGTTGTCAGAAGATTGTCATAATAAATATATTTTGCTACTTAGGGTATACTTTTTCAAGAGTCAATAAAATGTTTTGTTATTACATTATCATGTTTTATTGCAACATTATCATGTTTTATTATAACATTACCATGTTTTGTAACAACGTTACCATGTTTTATTTATTGCAACGTGAACGTGTTTTATTATATGTAACATTACACCGTGGGTTTTAGAATTCTATCACAACAACGATAATCACACATTTTTAAACTTTTAAATAGCATTATACAAATACTAACTTGTAAGCGCGACGTTACTGCGTGGAATCAGATAAAAAAATGCTAATATTCTTTATACCAACCTTCAGGATAACAGATTTTATAATAATTTTTGCAAATCACAACTCAAGTGTTAAAAAAGTCATTTATTATTTTTACCATATAGCTTACAATTAGATACCAGGAACTTACCATCGGGTACCAAGTATTTACTATCAGGTACCACGATTACCATAAGTAGATTTTATATTCATCACCATATTTATTGACATTTTATATATTCGTAGTATTTTTAACCCTAATTACATATTTATGTTATAATTAACGTTTATATACTTCACTCATCGAGTATATAACCAGAAATAGAGACGAAATGTCATTTAATTTATTTGAAAACTATTCTGCCATATCATTACTGTGACAATTGCGATCCGATTGGCCAGCCCGAATTCAAAACAATTGACGGGAGTCGTCAATTGTTTCACTTCAAATCGACCAGTTAACTTGAGCTTTTGCGTTTAATTGCGTTTAGATCAATTTTCGTCCATTATAGGGACGAAAATTGCAAAATTACATATTTAATATTTAATTCTACCGTCAAATGCCAAGACGCTCGGACGCGAGGCGCGTTACTTTGTCCTTGATCGGTGACTCGTCGTATTGAAGTGTCCACACAAAATGTCCTCAAGTACTTTGAAATGTACTAATTGCAACGTTGTAATTAACGAACTGCTCGCGTTTATACAAAATGTGTTAGATAGTATGGACGAGGAGAGCTTACATCAGCTGTGCACTGAAACATTTTCAGCAGAAGAGATAGTGGTAGCCAAAACTTTATTGTTTGAATAGCTTCCAAACTCCAAAACGATGCCGCTTCGTCATAAAGGCGGTAAGAAAAAGTTGTCAAGAGATCTTGATGATATAGTATGCCTCATGAAAGGCACTAGAAATACAGATCTTTTTCCTGTGTTAGTAGTAAAGGACCTGCATTAACTATCACCAGTCACTTTTGAACATAGATGTCACTAGGCTTATGAGGGATATCTTAAGTGTAAAGAGGCAAATCACTGCCCTGGAGGAGAGATGTGTGACTACAGAATCTTTTGAGTTGCTTAAAAAATAAATACGTTATATGAAGCATACATCTCTTCTCTACAATAATAACCCGCATTGTGATTGCTCGACAAAATGGGGTGCATGTTTAGAAGACAGCTTCTCGCTAGACAGCGGTCCTATGGGCCTACAATATGTCCCTATGAATCCCACAATATGTCCCTATGAATCCCACGATATCAACAGTTCAAAGTGCTCAATTAACAATTATTATGTTTCACTCTTGCTTGAGCAAACTAAACAGACAGTGCCAGCACTACGTCTCCTCAGGGTCGTATGTGCAGAAGCGAGATGCATTTATGCACTGCTAATGCAAGTGCAAACAAGACATCGGTGCAACAAGCATGCACTTCCTTCATGAGTGTGAGCGGGACGGCGATACAGCACGACGTCACAGAACAGGCTAACGAAACCGACGATACCAGCACTGTGCCTCCTCAAGGAGTGAGAAAGAGCAGTGAGAAGGCAATGACGTCTGTATGCGCGGGAAATGGCAGTGTAAGCGAGACGGCAAAGAAATACAATGAAGCCCTTACAATGAGTCCCTGCCCATAGAGCCCGCTGGCCTCACTAGGGGATCGGGCTTTCGCCTTCTTCCCGTACGTCTGCGCCAAAGCGGGTGCGCGTCCGCCGCGTCCTCGCGCACCCGCTCCGCATCCACCTTTTGCGACATAACCTCTCCGCAAAAGGAGGCCGCCGCCTCCCAGGACTCCTGAGAGGTCCTGCCCTATTGTCCCCGTCAGGGTACGGCGCTGCTCTAGAGTGTGCTGCGCGGTGTCATCCGCAGCGCCGCACTCGTGCCACGACGAACGGTTCCCTCCTCGCCACCTTGTGCAGGTAGTAACCGAAGCAGCCGTGCCCGGTCAGCACCTGCACAAAGTGGTACGACAGTAGCCCGTGGGACCGGCTGACCCACTCTAGGAGGACAGGACGGATCGCCCCTATGGTACGAGCTCCATAGGGGGGATCCGCCAAGCCCTCTTGACCAAACCAGTCCTGCCAAATGATCCGAAGTGTAGCGCACGCGCCTTTAATTTAATTACGAACTTAGAATGGCAGGTATGTAGTTACACGTAAAATACCAAAACAATATAGGATTACTTCCCAAACAGGGTGTGCATTACTACTCCTAGTGGTAAATTTAGAGCCGCGGACAGTAAAGTTCCACTGTTTATTTCTAGCGTTAGCACTAAACCCTTGGAATGCGATATTGTAAATTATATCAAAGAAAAAACAAATGATACAGTGTCTCTAAAAAAGATAAATATGAAACATGCCAGGGACTACAATGGGTAGAAGTTTTATGTGTCTAAAAGCAAAGTAGACCTGTATTTAAATGGCCAGTTCTGGCTATTTTTAAATAAAGTTCTGGTTCTGGAATAACTTTTAGACGTTTTGTTCATTATATGTACAGAACGAACACTAGAAATTCGTTAAAGTCAGATGTTGCACCCGCTTTATGATTGGACAAAATGTTATGCATTATAATCTAGTTAGCTTTAACTGTAAGCATCTGCCTACATCTATGACCTGTGTAAGAACACTGTGCGAGCGTTCGGACGTAGTTGCCCTGCAGGAGACGTGGCTACTTCGTGAGGTGTACGAGATGATCCTTGGAGGTAAGATGATCCTTTTCAATTGTAGCGAAACTAGTAACGTCATCTAGATATTTTCTACAGTAAAATATAGGCCTCAATGTCTCATCAGTCAATTCGTAATGGCGATGTGAGTGACGAGTTCATTTTTGCGGAAAAAAATAAAAATTGTGTGAGTTTGATCTGTAAAGTTGATTAAAAGCTTAGGTAACTTCCATTCTAAGCAATCAATTGCTAAGATTTTTGTGTTGGTGGCTTTGTATAATGCTCTATTTACTTTTTAATGGCGTGGTAACAGTAGACAGCATACATGTTATTTTGCCGAACAAAAAATACAAATAAGTAAATTGGGGCAAGATGATTATGGTTTTGGTGTACGAGATGGTCCGTGGGGATCATCTTGTACTGTACATATTGTTAACGGATTATTTTTAATTTGTATGTTTTTCTGAGTACTGAAACCTCTTAATTAAATAGCTTGCAATACGAATAAAATAGTAGAAGACTGGATTTCGTTAACATGATCGATCTCGATTAATAACAAATATAAATGCTTTTTCTTGTTTCTTGTAGAAGAAAAACTATTGGTGGGTGATCGGAAGACTATGATCTAAAGAACTAGAAGCGTAAAAAGTAGGACGCCATATAGATCGGCAAGTAAACAGTTCGCAGTAGGTACGCGTTATGTCATTAAAAAGACGGGCTAAAGGTAAAAATAAAGGGTCTGTCAGTTCAATGAAATATTTAGGTGAAAAAAAGAAACTGTTTTCATCAGATGTGTTAAACAGGAAATTGAGCTCGTAAAGTACATTATAGATATGGAGACGAGGATGGATATCAACTTGCCATAAAAAACAATATCTCCCATCCTTATATGTACCTGTAAGATATAAATCAATTATGATTATTTGTTCTCTAAGTTCCGTAACTGTTGTTTCATATACCTAGATTACATAAGTGAGGACTTCGTTAAGTCTAAAAAATTCTTGTTTTCATTTGTTTCTACCAAAACCTAGAAATTTTCCTAAATAGAGGCAAGGTGATCTCCTGGATCATCTTGCCCATACCCCTTGGATCATCTTGGACACCTAGGTGTCCAAGACGATCCTTTAGTAGGGTTTTAAAAATATTCAAATATAATAATGAAAGATCAAAAAATAAAACGTTTTTAGTAAGACAACATGTAAATAGATAAATTTTCTATCATTCAACGCTTTTACATCTGCTGTAAGCTGAATATCTTTTAAACTACCACCATTCTCCCTTAAGGGGATCATCTGGTACCCCTTTCCCCTACTGTTAGCAAAGATTTTGAATATACTGGTAAGTCAGCGGTGAACACATCCGCGGGCCTTCTGGTGGGAAGACCTTATGGGGGAGTGGCCATTCTCTGAAGAAAGGGTATGTATGAATCCGTCGCCGTCTTGGATTGCAGTAGCCCTAGGTTAGCTGTCAAAGCTATTTCTGGTGGTCGCACTGTAATATTCTTTTCTGTGTACATGCCAAGAAAGATAATTTACCTATTTTTACGGAGGTTTTGAATGAGATTAGTGCAATAGAAGAAAGTAGTAATGTTGAGTCCATATTCATCTTAGGAGACTTTAATGCACATACACAGGAGACCTTCTATAGGGAACTTTCTAACTTTTGTTCAGATCAATCGTGGATGTGTGCAGATGTAGAGAAGCTGGGATATTCTTCAAATGTTTATACATTAATTTGTCAAAAATCGGGTAGTGGAAGGTGGTTGGACCACTGTATTGTTTCCCTCTCAGCTTGGCATACCATTATCAAAGTAAGCATAAATGAGGATGTCTACACGTCGGAACACCTACCTAAAACTACATGAGGCACAGTTCGGGCTTAGACCTGGACTATCAACGGAAGGCGCGATCTTAGCACTCAAACATTCTGTCCAGTACTACACCAATCGCAGGTGTACGCCTGTTTCCTCGACCTCTCTTTGATCTGGTATATTATGATATACTCTGGGGAAAGTTGGGGGACAGGGGTGTACCGCCTGACTTGTTAAAAATTTTTCGTTTTTGGTACAGTCACCAAAGTAATGCTATAAAGTGGGGTAGTGCCCTCTCTGACGCATATGGAATTGGAGTGCGGGATTAGGCAGGGGGGGTAAGCTCCCCCTCGCTCTTCAACCTATATGTAAATGATCTCATTGTTGGGCTCAGCGGCATGCGTGTCGGTTGCCGCGTGGATGGTGTTCGTATTAACAACATCAGCTACGCGGACGACATGGTGCTGCTGGGCCCGACAGCGAGGTCTTTCGAAGAGATACTAAAGGTCTATGCTGATGGTCTCCACTATAACATTAAAAAGTGTAGAATATATTGTTTTTAAGGCCGCCAGTAATAATCTTAAAGAATTGCCAGAAGTAACCCTTAACGGCATGAACATTAAAAGAGTATCTTTCAAATATCTAGGTCATTACGTTACCGACGACCTTAAGGACAATGCCGACATTGATAGAGAGCGTAGGGCTCTAGCGGTAAGAGGTAATATGTTGATCCGTAAGTTTTCTAGGTGTACAGAAGTAAAAATAACGCTTTTTAAAGCTTACTGTCAAAGTTTCTATACAGGGAGCCTATGGGTTGACTACACCAAACGGCCGCTGGAGACCCTACGTGTACACTAATTATATTTTTAGAATGATGTTGGGACTGCCTAGTTTCTGCAGCGCATCGGGGATGTTTGCAGAGTACGAGACGGATGGTTTTGCTGCCATCCTCCGGAAAAAGACAGCATCCCTGATGCGCAGAGTGTGGGACAGTCCCAACAGCATCCTACAAACTGTAGCTGGTAGAATTACCTCTCCCACGTGGCAACGCTTCATGAGAAAGGGATTTGAAAATTAATGTAAAAAAAATAATTGAATCTACTAACACTAATTTATGAGCACTTTTGTTGTTATTATTACTAACAAGTTATGGAACTCGTTGTCTGAAATAAAAGAATTTTAATTTTCTTTTTTTTTTTTTTACCTATGAAACTTGATTCCGTTTGTTTGGTAATTAGATGTTTTGGTGTTTTCCCCCACGCCACGGATTTAAAAAGCACGCCATTATTAGAGATATTATCTTTATTACAATAAATACAGAATATTTTTGGAATATATGGAGACCAGGAATGTATGGCCCTTATTTCGTCTCTATTTCTGGTTATATACTCGATGACTTCACTCAACCCTTAAAGTTCTTTTTTAAATAAAATACATATTTATTTCTTGACAAATACGACGGAAGAAACAACACTGCCGGTTTTCCCGCCAAATTTGAATTGCGGTGTTGGTATTACGTATTTTAGTTTTAATTTTTCTTCAAAATGGCGGCAAAGCTCTGACTCTGTCCAGTTGCATGATGTTATTATGAATAAACCTGAAAAGATAAATCAATATTATTTTTATGCGAAAACCTAAGTACTCGATTTGTTTACCGTTTAGACTACTCTAAACGATGTTGCCCTAGTTAGTTGATAATTCAGTCCCGAAGTTTTTACCAACCCAAGATGCTAGCTTCCTTGATAATGAAACCAAAGTAATTACCAACCGACGAAGTCTTTCCTACATTTAAAGTCACATAGCCCTCAAGCACAGTAAAAAGTAGTACAAAAATCCTTAGAATAATAACGCATAGAATGATAGTTTCATATTAAACGAACTGTCACAAGTGAGGCAAAAATCAAATTCATGTAGGCTAGTTTTAGTAGTAGGTTAATTTTCGGTTTTAGTGAATATTTATATAAAAATACAAGTTGAAACGCGTTACTTCCTTGTGGAATGTGATGTTAGTATCTATTTTATGTTTGTCTGACGCATTTTTACACCCATTTACCGCACATTTCGTCATTTTTAGCTAAAATACTTTATCTGTTCGCGGTGCAAGTTGACCTTGAGCACTGAAGCCCGCCCGCTCGTGTAGGCCCATTGGCCGCGCTTAAATTTGCCTCACTTAGCGTGTGCGGACTAGGTTTCTATGCGTTATTATTCTAAGCAAAAATCTGACAAATTATGAAAAAAACGGGCCTTTGTTATATATATGTTAATAAATCGTTGTCCACAGAAGATTCGCCGGGCATTTTGTATTAATAATATTATTCGTGCCCTCCTACCAAAACATACTGCAACACTAGACGCCGCTTTTTCGGTAATTATTCGTTAAAAAACGTATGACTTCTCGTCGTGTGAAAGAGATGCGATAATACTACGCGCCACTGCAACACCGAATAAGTTAAAGTACCTTCGATTCGCTTCACAAGTCCGTTGCGTCTTCGATAAACGTATAGAACTGTATGCGTTTTTTTGCAGGATAAACCCGGTGGGAACGGTTCTATATCCAATGTATGCGCCACTGTTTATTCGGTAAGATTTATACTGCATTATATATATTTTTTAATATATAATAGACACACGCTGGCCACAATCTCACCTGTTGTTAAATGCCTATTCACTCTAGTCTTGAATAGTCCCAAATTGTACTAATCGGGAAATACAGAGACGGAGAGCATTCCATTCCTTTGTCGTACGCATCAGATGGGAGGAAGTAAAGCGCTTAGTGCGAATAGGTGGTATATCAACGACATAAGGGTGGAGTGTTCCGGACCTTCTAGTCGATCGAAGAAGGAACGGTGAGAGTAGAACTAAATTGAAAAGCTCCTGCGCACACTCACCGAAACGTATCCGATAGACAGATAATTTGAGTGTAATATGTGGTTACCTATGCGTGTGTCCATGGCACCCGCAATACAGGGTTTCTTTAGTGCAGAGCCAACGCACACTTGGCGTTATAAAAAAAATTACCACTATTTCTACCAAATATCTGTCAAATTTTTGACGGTGTTGCCATTGCTGTTATTTATCATGCTATCTGTCATGAAATGCATGCATGTGTTGGTGTGAATGAAAAGAGCCTCCACACTATGACGTAGGAATCGTATTCCAAATACGTCTGAACGAGTACCTCACGTCGATTGACCACGATGGCAAACATATTTCATGCACAGTACAGCATGGCGACTACTTGTGGTGTGATCAGCGTGGCTAGGTTCTGGGCCGCGATAATACAGCGTATTCAATGACTGTACTGTATATTGTTTACTCCATCCATGTCTACGTTTCTTTTGTGCTGGTGATTAACGAATGGTGGTTGTGACTAGATAGTCACGTTCGTATTAACAACATCAGCCCTCCATGCTTTTGTGATCTTATTTTTATTTTTAATATTAATGCGTCTTATCCTGCTTTGGTGGGTACTGCAGTTAGCTGTTTTTTGTTGTTTATAAAAACTAGAACTAAACTGGATTGTAATATAATGTATAATAATTAAAATATAATAAGGATGGCGACATCCCGTGTATTTTGTGACCCAGTGTTTTTGACGACGTGCATTAAGGAGATCTATCAATACTTGTGATTCATTATCAAAAAGCTAATTGCGTACAGCCTGTATAAGCTGGGGTTATAAAATGCAGTAACGAAAATGAATAAAAATTAATCTGCCCAAATGGCAGAAATCCGCCACAAATGGTCACACTTGGCAAGAGGTCTCTTGTCAAAACGTTCCTTTGCAACTTTCAATATCTCTCATTTAAAATATTGTCTAAATATTTTTGTCACATTGTGTTTTATTTTTTGCTTTATGTCATTATTGTTTAATTGATTATTTCATTAGGTATTTTATAACTTTAATGTTTTATGTGTGTACTATAAAATAACCAATACTTCAGGTAGGTAAACATTCAATCATGCTTAAAACAAAACGGACATACAAAAACGTTACCTAATCTATGATCGAAATGAATCAATTGCGTTATGTTCTTGCATTTATTCTAAAATACAATGTTTTACAATTTCTTTATTCCCGACTTCTAAAAATATATAAAAATATATTGCTAACTAGGCATAAACTAAAACGCAAAATTAGACTAGCAAAGTCCATGAACGACTCTTCGTTGTGATTGGGGCAGCTTTCGCCTTCCTTCTTTATGTACGTATTAAAATTCAATGTAAACCACCTCTAGTTGTGTTCTACCAATCATATTTTATAAGCTTATTGTAATATTACACTCAGTTATTACAATAGAGTAAGTCATTGTAATTTTTAGACACACTTGACGGACGATTACGTCCATGTCTGTCACCTAGCTACCCATAGTCAGTGTTGGGCAAAATTTAATTGTTCTGGCAATTAAAGATTGACAATTGATTAATTGTCAATTGCGAAACAGCAATTAACGATTGATCAATTGTTAGTTGCGAGAACCGCAATTAACAATTAATCAATTGTTAATTGCGGTTCTCGCAACTAACAATTGATCAATCGTTAATCGCAAATATCTACAATTAACAATTAATCAATTTTCTATTTTTTCAATGTTTTTGATTAACAATTAAAACTGACAATTATGATAAATTTAGAGGGCATATGGGATGTAAGGGGGCACACACCATCACAGCTCTTATTGTCAACCTCACCTGCACGCGGTACATCCTACAGTAACCGACGAGGCTCTGGCGACCGGTAGTAGGCGGTATAGCCCTTCCCCACATTGGCGCTGTCAAATCTGCTGGCTACCGACGGGCAGCAGCGTCGGTAGTACAAAGGCAGCGCCCTGCGATCTCCAACCCGCATGCCCAGCGTGGAGATTATGGGCAATAACCCCCTTCATGGACGGTACAACCAATCGAAGGCCCCCAGTTCCCGGTCGCCCCGCTATTCCTGGTCACGGTAGCGGCCATGGTACCGGCGGGGTAGGGGGTGCTAAGAATCCCCGGGCTACCGCAGGCTACCAAAAACAACTGACCCTGGCTACATTTAACGGACGAACTCTTAGGCTTGACGAACACCTTGCACAGTTGGAAGTGGAACTGGAGAACATTAGATGGCATGTTCTGGGGCTGTGTGAAGTCCGAAGAGAGGGAGAGGACACCATAACCCTAGACTCGGGCCATCTACTGTACTTCCGCGAGGGTGATCAAACATCCCAAGGTGGTATAGGATTCCTCGTCAACAGAGTCCTCTCTAACAACGTTGAAGAGATCTCCAGTGTGTCGAACAGGGTAGCGTACCTGATCCTTCGGCTATCAAAAAGGTATAGCCTGAAGATCATTCAGGCCTACGCACCGACCTCGACACATTCGGATGACGATGTAGAAGATATGTACGAGGACATATCGAAAGCCTTACACAACACCACCAAGGCTCACTTCAACGTTGTTATGGGGGACTTTAACGCTAAAGTGGGATTCCCAAATCTTGACGAATCTCGAGTCGGCCCGCATGGTTATGGAGTAAGGAATCACAGAGGGCAAACGCTAGTCAACTTCCTGGAGCACGAGGGGCTCTTCTTGATGAATTCGTTCTTCAAGAAGAAGCCTCAAAGGAAGTGGACTTGGCGAAGCCCCGACGCTGTGACTAAAAATGAGATCGATTTCATCCTGACGGACAAGAGACACATATTCAGAGATGTCTCAGTGATCAACAGGTTTAGCACCGGATCTGATCACCGACTTGTACGAGGCTCTCTGAATATCGATGTCAAACTTGAAAGAAGCCGCTTGATGAAGTCCACGCTCCGTCCTAATCCACTCCAGATCATGGCGGGCTCCGAGAAGTTCCATGAACTTCTCGAAGCGAGATTCGTCGAGCTGGAACCCACCGAGGACGTTGACGAGGCCCTACAAAGCGTGGTTGGGACGCTGAGAAGCGAGGGCATCAAATTCTGTCAATTGCAGCGTACGGGAAAGAAGTCTAAACTCTCGGATGGGACTCTGCGACTTATGACGAAAAGACGCGATGACATCCAGGCCACTTCGTCAGAGAGGTCATACCTAAACAAGCAGATTGCGAAGATGGTACGGCGTGACCTTCGGAGCTCCAATACACGCCTCATTGAGAAGGCGATAGAGCGAAACCGAGGGTCCAAAGTATTCACTCAGCAGCTTGGAAGGAGCCACCTGACGAAGCTTACAACGCACGATGGCCTAACCGTTACGTCAAAGCCGCAGATACTCGCCGAGATAGAGGACTTCTATGGCCGTTTGTACGCTGTAAATGCTCCTCGGGTCCAGCGTGACAATCACGATTTGAGAGCCACCTTGACGCGCCACTATACCGACGACCTGCCAGAAATCAGTCAAGACGAGATCGTGTTGGCTCTAAAACAGCTTAAAAATGGAAAAGCCCCCGGTGAAGACGGAGTTACTTCAGAGCTTTTGAAGTCTGGAGGAGTTCCTATTATCCAGGAACTTCAGAAGCTCTTTAACTTGGTCATTCACTGCGGGAGAACTCCACGGGCGTGGAACAGGAGTATTGTAGTTCTCTTCTTTAAAAAGGGAGATAAAACTCTACTGAAAAACTACCGACCCATCTCACTTCTG